TAACAAGGGTGAGAAGAAGAAATGCTTTCTACACATTTGTTCTTTGGTATCCAAGAAAATTCAAGGTAGGTTGAGGTGCAAGTGTTATTTCGTTTTCAAATTTGATTTTTCGTTAAAAGTTGAATGAAATGGTACCTCCAGATTCGGTGCTTCGGCACTACTATAGTTTGAATGATCATTCTCCAGCTCTATGTGTTATGATAATGCTATAGATATCAGATTTTGCCGGAAATCCAACTACGTGTGACGGTATGAATTCATGGTTCGAATTTTCTAATTTGATTACGAAATGCACCGATGATATCTATTGAGTTTCAAACTCATGGGTTAAATCCCTTCTTACAGGTTGATTTTGTTCTTTTGTTGGGGGCGTGGATGATGGCGGTTGAAAATGCAATTCGACATGAAAAAGCCAGTGAATTAACAGCTTTAAATTAATTATGAAATATTTGCGTTTTCTATTAATTACTTTTCTATCGACATCGTTTATGAAACTATTTTTATGAATATTTTCTTATGAATAGGTTATGTTTAAAAATATATATATGTGATCTAGAATTTACTTACGAAACACCGTCTTAAAAAAAAATGTCAACTAGTTAATGTTACTGTTTTCATAGAAATTTCAGTTTCTGCTTAGACTTTAAAAATTCATAATTAATTTGTTACTTCGAATTTTTGAACAAAGCTAATGTTATTTGATAGCCTCATAAGTTAGCTACTGAATAAATTTAGAATCATGTCAATCCGACGTCGGTAAAACTTTATATGTCACTTTAAGTAAACATAGTGTTGCTATTTTCTGAAAATTCCAGTTTCTGCCATTGAACTTAAAAATTCGTAACTCAATCGTTACTTGGGATTTTTGGACAAAACCAGTGGAATTTAATAGCCTCATGGATTAGCTACTGAATAAACTCAAAATCATGTCAATCCAATAGCTATGGAATTTTATATGACACCTTAAGTATGCTGCGCTGGGTTACTTCCACAATCGAGTCGCTGCGAGATTTTGAAAAATATTTTAACATATCATATGTCGCCAACGAAAGCTGAATTTTGGATATGTTATATTATGAGAAGTTCCCTACTTTTTCTTAAAGTTTCGACCTAGATTACTATGTAAACGAGTTTATTTTAAAACTTACTGTACAAAAATGGGAAGTCAAACAACAACATTTATTTTTAAATTCTTGCCTAGAATTTCACGCAATAAAAATGTATTTATGCATGGATGTCACCTGAAGACATTAGGAATTAGTTTCTTTTGTATTGAGTTATGTTGTCATTTATTGTTCTTTTAAAAAAAATATTCTTAAATTAAATCTTTATAATTTCCTCTAAAAGTTTTAGCTATTTTTTCAAGTTTACAGTTAAAAGTACAATTAATCTAGCGATGTTCCGGTCCTTGCGGGTCGGGGCATTATAGCGTGATATCAGAGCATGAATTTAGTCGATTCTATAGACTTAGCGTATACTTAAAAAATAATAATTAAAAGATGAGAAAGTGAAACATTTAATGCATTCTATGTCATCTTGCATCCGTCAATTGACCTCATCCGACGAACCTAAGGTATGGAATAAAATATTGTGTTCCACTTTATTTTTCGAGCATGATTTATAAATCATTTAAGCTTGAATCTATGAAGATGCTAATGATATTTAGGATGAAATATGTTATGTAAGTTATATCTTGTTTAGATATACATGAAGAAATGATGATTAGCTATTTTATTGAAACCCCAAAAGCATAATGTATAAGTTGATATCACTAGCAGAGATAATACATAATTGGATACTTATATGATAGACATGGTTAGAATTTATCAGACCACTAGAAAGGCCACGGCTTGTAGAGCAGCGTTGAACCGTAGGTCTATCATTCAATCCTATGAGAACTACGTGACTGACCCATCTCATCTGCTTGTTGAACACATACATGACATTTACGAGAGATGTATGGCACCGGTAGATGCAGAACTGGAGATCACGCATATCGAGGCTGTAAATAACCTCATACATTCACTTCCACCTCAATGGGAAAATATGGGAGTCATGGTTAGGGATGAGACGTTAGAAGGTAACCCTCCAGAGCACCCAAATGCAATTGAATTCGGTATATATTGTCAGATCCTTTTAGACGGGTAGAGTGAGAGCTTAGAACCTCAACCAGAGATAGTAATTAAGCCTAAGCTCGAGCTCAAGCCTAAGCCTGAGCTCGAGCCTGAGCCAGAACCTCAGTTTGAATTGAACAGAGGAAGATCCCGAATGGGAGCATGAGAATGACTTTGGGTTGAAATTAGAGAATGAACATGAGCATGAGTCACAGGTTGAGATGGACCTAGAGTCGGGGCTTGAGGCAAAAGACTCCTCCGAAGATAAAGCTACACCAAAGAAGATTCGCAAGATTCATAAGGATTAGAAATTAGATTCCTTTTCCTTGTGTTATCTTTTCCTTAATGTTATGGAAGTAAAGGTCGTCGAACTATTATATATCCTGATTTCAAGGAGTACTTTTAATAATACAAAAAAAAAAATCAATTATGGTTCAAGATCTTGGTAGGTTGAATCAGAACCCAGCTCCACCTACACCGCCAACTCCTATTACTCTCCCAACTCATGCCTTGGTGGTTGAGTTATTTCGAAGGCATAAGCTCCCTACCTTCGATGGAGCATCTGGTCCACTAGTAGTTGAGGAATGGCTTCACAAGCTAGAACAAATTTTTTGACTCATAGACTACACCGACGCCCAAAAGGTTCGGTGTGCGCAATTTATGTTTATTGGTGATGCAAGTTACTGGTGGGATTCGAGCAACAATTGGTGTTAACATGGGAACAATTTAAAGAGGAAGTAATGGACAAGTATTTTCCTCAGTCTCTAAGAGATTTCAAGGAAAGTGAATTCTTTCAGCTCAAACAGGGTAATATGTCCCTGACTGATTACAAACGAAAGTTTGATCAACTCTCAAGATATGTTCCACACCTGGTTGACACTGAAATTAAGAAGACTAGAACGTTCGAGCAAGGGTTAAACCCAGACCTAAGCATGATCCTTATGTCACATCGTTTCACATCATATCGTGAGATGTTGGAACGAGCTCATGCTATTTGGTATCAGAAGGCTAATGCGGAGCAACAGCGTCAATTGTACAACCAGCAAGATGGAGGGCATATTGGAAAGAGGAAGTAGAATGGTCAAGACAAAGGAAATGGAAAATGGCAAAATAAGAAGGCTAACATCGGATCTAGTGCTAGCAAGGCCATAGTAGCTACAGTTGCTCCTTGTCTGAAGTGTGGTAAACCTCATCGTGGTGAATGCTTGTATGGGAAGAATATCTATTTTCGATGCGATAAGTCAGGACATATTGCTAAGGATTGTCCTATATTCACTCAAAAGAAGGATGACAACGGTGATCGGAACAAAAAGGGAAAAGCACGAGTCTTTACGCTGACTCAGAAGGATTTAGAGGAAAACTCAAACGTAATAACAGATATTTTACTGATATTCAATACACCTGCTTATGTACTGTTTGATTCAGGAGCTACTCACTCTTTTGTATCATCGTCTTTCATTGCTAAATCTAGTATTACTTATGAGAAGTCAGAAAGTACACTAGAAGTTAGCGTCCCCTCAGGTAGAACATTAAATACAGATTAGTTAGCTAGGTCGGTAAATCTTGAAATCGAAGGAAAAACATTAGAAGCTAATTTGTATCTGATAGAGATGAAAGACTTCGATGTGATTTTGGGTATGGATTGGTTGGGATGTAATTATGTAACCATTCGTTGTAGAGAGAAGGAAGTGTCTTTTCAGAAACCAGGAGAAGAGCAATTCTCTTTCCTCGGAATAAAGACCAAACCCCATCTCCAACTAGTATCGGCCTTGCAAGCTGAGAAAATGATGAGAAAAGAAACGTACTAAGGGTTTCTAGTTAACGTCTCAGGAGAAAAATAGACGATGATAAAGATTGAGTATGTACCAGTGGTACGAGAGCTTTTAGATGTGTTTCCAGAAGAACTACTTGGCACTCCACCAGATAGACAGGTGGAGCTCACAATAGATCTGGTTCCCGGAGCAACACCGGTATCTAAAGCTCCATACAGAATGGCTCCAAAGGAATTTCATGAGTTAAAATTTCAAAATTGTTGGATTGTGGCTTTATTCGACCAAGTGTGTCTCCTTGGGGCGCACCAGTATTGTTCGTAAAGAAGAAAGATGGAAGTATGAGGATGTGTGTTGACTATCGGGAGTTGAACCAGTTGACCATCAAGAATAAATATCCTCTCCCGAGAATCGAGGATTTATTTGTCCAATTGAAAGGGGCTAAGGTATTTTCCAAGATCGAGTTACGATTTGGATACCATCAGTTGAAGGTTAAGGCAAGTGATATACTCAAGACAGCTTTTCAAACTTGTTATGGACATTACGAGTTCACAGTTATGCCGTTCGAGTTGACAAATGCTCCGACAATGTTCATGGATTTAATGATTCGTGTATTTCATCAGTATTTGGATCAATTTATCATAGTCTTCATTGATGACATCTTGATATACTCCAAGAGTAATGATCAACATGAAGAGCATCTTAGAATGGCATTAGAAATACTGCGTAAGGAAAGGTTATACGCCAAATTTAAAAAGCGTGAATTTTGGCTTAAACAAGTTGGATTCCTCGGTCACGTAATTACTGCCCAAGGAATTGAGGTGGATCCAGTAAAAGTGGAAGCAGTAATTAATTGGAATACACGAACTAACGTGGGTGAAGTTCGAAGTTTTCTAGAATTGACTGGGTATTATCGGAGATTTATAGAAGAATTCTCCCAAATAGCTGGACCAATGACACAATTGACAAGGAAATGAGTAAAGTTTGAATGGACAGATAAGTGTGCGCAGAGCTTTCAGGAGCTAAAATGATGATTGATTTCAGCACCCGTGTTAGCTATACCCGAAGGATCGAAAGGATTTGTTATATTTAGTGATGCATCCAAACAAGGTTTAGGATGTGTACTGATGCAGCACGGAAAAGTGATTGTTATGCATCAAGTCAATTGAAGCAACATGAACCGAACTCCCCGACGCATGATCTAGAACTTGCTGCAGTAGTGCATGCTTTAAAGATATGGCGACATTACTTACATGGAGGGAAGTGCGACATTTACACGGATCATAAAAGTCTCAAATATTTCTTCGCACAGAAGGAATTGAATATGAGATAGAGACGATGGTTGGAACTTGTAAATGATTATGATTGTACTATCAATTACCATTACGGTAAGGCTAATGTTGTTGCCGATGTGCTAAGTAGAAAGCCAGTGGGACGATTGGCGTCATTTCCTACTACTCAGTTGGAGTTGATCAAGGACTTGAAGAATTTATGAATCGAAATAGTTGCCACACCAGAGCAAGTCACCACCCGTTTAGCAACTTTGGTGGTTCGACCTACTCTTAGAGATCGGATCATTGAGGCACAAGATAAGGAACCATTCTTGCAAAGGATCAAGAACGAGATTGGTACTAATAAGAGAAAGGACTTTAGAATAGCTTCGGATAGGGCTCTGATGTTTAAAGGAAGGATTTGTGTACCTAAGGATGAAATTTTGAGGAAGGAGATATTGGAGGAGGCGTATATCACTCCATACACTGCACATCCTGGTGGTATGAAAATGTATCAAGACCTTCGAGATACATTTTGGTGGAGGAATGTGAAAAAAAGTATAAGTCTATTTGTGGCAAAATACATTGTATGTCAACAAGTTAAAGCAGAACATCAAAGACCGGCAGTGTTGTTAAATCCATTGAACATACTAGAATGGAAGTGAGAGAATATCGTAATGGACTTTTTGGTAGGATTTTTGAGATCAGCAGGAGGACACAATGCTAGATGGGTAATAGTGGACCGTCTAACGAAGTTCGCTCATTTTCTTCCGGTGAAAATGACATTCAGTCTAGATCAGTTGGCACGGTTGTACATTAAAGAGATCGTAGGATTGCATGAAACCCCCGTATCCATTGTGTCTGACAGAGATCCAAGATTTACATCTAAGTTTTGGAAGAGCTTGCAAGTGGCTATGAGAACGAAATTGAATTTCAGTACGGCATATCACCCTCAATCTGATGGTCAATCTGAAAGAACCATTCAGACTTTGAAAGATATGTTAAGATCCTATGTTTTGGATCAAGGAGGCAATCGGGAATCGTATTTACCTTTGGTGGAATTTGCATATAATAATAGTTTCCAAGCAACTATTGAAATGGCACCGTATGAAGCTCTCTATGGTAAAAGATGTAGATCACATGTTCATTGGGATGAAGTCAGAAAAAAGAGAGTTTTGGGACCAGAGATTATTGAAAGGATATTCGTAGCCATTGATAAGATCCGTACTAGGAAAAAGGCAGCGCAAGACAGACAAAAGAGCTATGCAGATATCAGACGAAAGGATTTGGAGTTTCAAGTTGGAGATAAAGTCTTTCTAAAAGTGGTACCAATAAAGGGTGTACTTAGGTTTGGCAAGAAAGGCAAGCTATGACCTCGTTATATCGGACCTTTTGAAATACTTGATAGGGTCAGAAGTGTGGCTTATCGATTAGCTTTGCCGCTCGAACTATCACCAGTTCACAACATATTTCACATATTGAAGATCAAGAAGTATATGTATGATCCTGATTACGTGGTCAATTATCAATCCCTAGATGTACGTAAAGATTTATCTTATGAGCAATTACCAATTAAAATACTGAATCGAAAGGTACATAAATTACGGAACAAGGAGATTCAACTGGTCAAGGTGCAATGGAATAATCATGGAGTCAAAGAAGCTACTTGGGAAGAAGAAAAAGAAGTTAAAGACAAATATCCGACACTTTTTTCCAATCCATAAGGTAAATTTCGAGGACGAAATTTTATTTAAGGTGTAAGGGATGTAGAAGCCCAAGAAATAAAACGTAATTAGGCTATTATGTTGTGATGATCTAGCATCACGAGCCTGTCTCATTCAAGAAACGAGTTGTGGAAGCTCAAACCATTTAAGATTTTGAAAGCTCAAGCCATAAATTAATTAAAAGCCCAACAATTTAAGAGATTAAGTTTAAGTAAATTTGATTACAAAGATGTAATGAATAACTGGGTTGCCCCAATGGTCATCTACATGGTATTTCATATAGGCAACCCAGGTTCGAATCACCATGTAGATTTTTTATAAAACTTTTTTATGAATTTTTTTAGGCTTAAAAACTCTTCAAATTCTTAACTAAAGATCCAATTTAACAAACTTTATAATAATACAACTCCCCCCATTTAGTTTTTCATTAAAAAGAAAGGTTACAAGAAGCGGAAGGTCACTTTTTCACTACATCCTTCCTTCAATTCGAATTTCATCTTATTTTCTCTCAAAAAAAATATATTTTATGTCAATTTAAGCTAAAGGAATAACAAAGGTGAGAAGAAAAAAGGCTTTCTACACATTTGTTATTTGATATCCAAGAAAATTCAAGGTAGGTTGAGGTGCAAGTGTTATTTCGTTTTCAAATTTGAATTTTCGTTAAAAGTTGAATGAAATGGTACCTACAGGTACGGTGCTTCGGCACTACTATAGTTTGAATGATCATTCTCCGGCTCTACATGTTATGATAATGTTATAGATATCAGATTTTGCCGAATATCCATCTACATGCAACGATATGAATCTATGTTTTGAATTTTCTAATTTGATTACGAAATGGACTGATGATATCTATTGAGTTTCAAACTCATGGGTTAAATCCTTCTTACAAGTTGATTTTGTTCTTTTGTTGGGGACGCGGATGATGGTGGTTGAAGATGCAATTCGATTTGGAAAAGTTGGTGAATTAACAACTTTAAATTGATTATGAAATGTTTGTATTTCCTATTAATTACTTTTTTATGGACATCATATATGAAACTATTTCTACAAACATTTTCTTATGAATATGTTATGTTTAAAAATAGATATATGTGATCTAGAATTTACTTACGAAACACCGTCTTCAAAAAAAAAAAAAAGTGAATTAGTTAATGTTACTGTTTTCTTAGAAATTTTAGTTTCTGCTCAAATTTTAAAAATTCATAACTAATTTGTTACTTCGAATTTTTGAACAAAGCTAATGGTTTTTGATAGCCTCATAAGTTAGCTACTGAATAAACTTAGAATCATGTCAATCCAATGTCGGAAAAATTTTATATGTCACTTTAAGTAAACATAGTGTTGCTGTTTTCTGAAAATTTCAGTTTCTGCCATTGAACTTAAAAATTCATAACTCAATCGTTACTTGGGATTTTAGGACAAAACCAGCGGGATTTAATAGCCTCATGGATTAGCTACTACATAAACTCAAAATCATGTCAATCCAATAGCTATGGAATTTTATATGACACCTTAAGTATGCTGCGCTGGGTTACTTCCCAAATCGAGTCGCTGCGAGGTTTTGAAAAACATTTTAACATCTCATATGTCGCCGACAAAAGCTAAATTTTGGACATATTATATTATGAGAAGTTTTCTACTTTCTCTTAAAGTTTTGTGAAGTTTCGACCTAGATTACTATGTAAATGAGTTTATTTTAAAACTTACCGCGCAAAAATGGGAAGTCAAACAACAACATTTATTTTTAAATTCTTGCCTAGAATTTCATGCAAAAAAATGTATTTATGCATGGATGTCACCCGAAGACATTAAGAATTAGTTTTTTTTTGTATTGAGTTATGTTGTCATTTATTGTTCTTTTAAAAAAAGGATATTCTTAAATTAAATCTTTATAATTTCCTCTAAAAATTTTAGCTATTTTTTCAAGTTTATGGCTAAAAGTACAATTAATCTAACGACGTTCCGGTCCTTGCGGGTCGGGGCGTTACAAACACGACTTGCACTTTATCAAAGTGATTTTAAAATGGAATTCGCCTCTTGATAAATAAAACGAATAAGTTTAATTACTAAGAGAGGCTAACACTGCGCACAGAGGTGTTGCAAGAATGCAATGCCACCACTGTTGGACTACTGTCTGTCGTGGATTTGGGGAGGTCGTGGTGGTTATTGTTCATAAGACGGTGGTAATTGAAAGTCCAAGAATAGTTAACTAAAAGGGGTGAATTGGTTTTTAAATACTTTTCCAAAATTAATTCAAGTCTAAAAACAATGTACTAGCAGATGTAGCAATAAAATAAATACACAAAAATATGAAATCAAATAAGAAAAATTAATGAGCACAATGTAAAAACGATAAATAGAAGGGAGAGAATACAAAGATTTAATTGTGGAGATTCGATCTAATGCAATGATCTACGTCCTTCGTTACCAAGCTCTCCGACACGAACAAGGCTTATTCGCTAAATTGATTGACTTATGGTGTAATTCATCTACAACACTTTCGGTGACTTACAAGCAAGGAGCACCGATCCTTACGTAATATTGAGCTTTACGGGACCTCAACACAACCCACACTATTGAGTTTTACGAAAGCTCAATATTACCCACAATATTGAGGTTCACGGAACCTCAATATGGCCCATACAATGGTTTACAACAAGGAGCACCGATCCTTATACATTGTTGAAATTTATAGGGCTTCAACACAACTTACACTTTATCAAAGTGATTTTAAAATGGAATTCCCCTCTTGATAAATAATACAAATAAGTTTAATTACTAAGAGAGGCTAACACTTCAATGAATAGCAATAAATGATAGCTCAAATATTAGATAAAAACTTTGACAGATATGATAATTAAAAATAAAATTCAATCAATCAAAGTAGTTCAATGAGAAAATGAAGAAGAAATAAATTCAATGTAAGTTTAAAAATCTTCTCAAGATATCTCTCTCTTTTAAAGAATTATTATAATAAATTAAGTCCCAAGAAAGAGATGATACACTTTGATGAATATGATGATTTACAAGTTTAATTTAATCAATCAAAGTTTTCAATATAAAGTAGTAGAAATGATACAATGTAAGTTCAAAACTTTTTCTTCAAAATATTTCTATCTTCTATGAATGATAGAAATAAGTTAAGTACAAAAAGAGAGATGAAAAACTTTGATGAAAATAATGATTAAAGAGTTTAAATCAATAAAAGTTTTGATATGAAAAAATAAATAAAATGAATGCATAAGAAAGCTTAAAGAATTCTTAAAACAACTTGAAAATCTTGTGAAGAATGGAAAGAGTGAAAATATTTATAGAGTTCAAAAACGTAAAAAAATCTATATTTGCGGAAGACAAGTCTGGTCGACCGTCTCTTGTCCGGATGACTAATATAGCCGTTTGTACAGTGAAAATTAGAGGTCAGAATGGTCAAATTTTGGAATGTTGATGGGCGTTCAGTCTACTGCCTTTCTAGGCGGTTGATCATCCCAACAGTGCGATCTTTTTACGTGTTAATCCCGTTTGTTCCAATTTGAGAGTTTTGAAATGCATGGACTTTTGGAAAGTATTTTTAACTAAATTTTCAAACTAAAAATGTTTTTAAAATCCAAAAATCATTTTTAAAAGTTATTTTTATATTTGATCAAAACTTTTCATTGGAATGATTTTTAATGCACAAAACTTATTTTTAATCCATAGCATTTTGAGCTTAACCATTCATCAAAGTATTAGTACCTTTTACTTTTTTGCTTAAGAAATCAAGTCTTTGATCTCCGAAGTTGGCTCTTAAATTATTGAATATGTGACTTCAATTTTGACCTCGTTCTTTTATGCCGTCTCTCGTGCGCTTGATCTTTCTTCGCCTCGAATGATTTAACTTGAGTGCTTAGTGCTTAATTGATTTTAACGTAGAACTATCATTACTCAAAATAAATTGATAGAAATAATATTAATCTTGTTTGTTATGATAAAAAAATTGAGGATGAAGTCAACGGTAATGATGAAGTGGCGACGACGACTGCAGTGGATTTGGGGATTTTTTTGGGTGGATATGGTGACTGTGATTTTTTTGTTACAGAAGTATTGACCCTAATATTATGGTGATGGCGTTGGCGTTGGCGTTGGTGGTGATGGTGGTCACTGTAGTGGCAAATCGACGACGATTTGTATTGTTTTACGGTGGTTTGTGGTCATTAGTGGTGACTTTTGCAGTAGTTTTTTTAGATGGGTTTATGGTTTGTGCTGTCAATGTTTTGTGGTGGTTTTGCGCTACTGTGGTGTATAGTGGTGATTTTGTGTTATCTGGTGATGATGGTCATGGCGGTGGTGTTGCTGTCATAAGTGGTGGCGGTGGCGGTGGGTCTTGCGAAAACGGTGGTGTGTGGTGGTTTTGTATTGTTGTGGTGTGTGGTGTTGCTGTCGAAGGTGGTGGCGATGATTTTGGTGAAAACGACGGTGGTGTTGTTGCTATTGAAGGCAATGGTGCAAAAGTGGTCAAAAGTGTTAGTGGCAGTCACAACTTGTTTAGTTGATTGTAACCATTGAATTGATTAACCCCTGATCAATAAGCAATACGTGATCAATGAAAAAGATAAATTATGATCAAGAAATAATGCGTGACCTAAAAAATTGTTAATTTGTGATCGATAATTTGTGATTGATAAATAAATTGTGACTTATACATTTTTGATTTGTGATGAACAATTTGTAACCTATAAAATTTTGAATTGTGACCATAAAATAATCTGTGACCTATAAAAATTTTGATTTGTGATCGATAATAATATGTGACTAACTAATTTGTTAATTTGTAACCAAATTATAGAGACCTGTGACCTTGATATATTTAATTAATAAAATATATATAATTAATTAATTAATAAATATATGATTTTTTAAATTTGAAATTGTTGTTCTTAGTTTTGTCGATGATCCTTAACCTGTTAATTATAAATTTTTCCTTGTAGAAGTATCATTAAAGTCAGCTATGCTTGAATATTTGGTATTTGTTTGCGGAGTAACCAAAAAATTTGCACTCTCTCTGTTTAAGAAAAAATAGAATTGCTTTCTATTTTAGTCCGTCCCGTGTTCATCTTTAGTCATGTATTCTCTCAATAAATACTTTTGTACTTGAAATCAATAATTTTTT